ATTTTACTTTTGTAAATATTTTTAAAAAATTATATTTTAATTTTTCTGAGAAAGGAATCATTGATATGGGCAGCTTACATATTCAATTTTTAGACAATGCTGACCATATTCTACCATGTTTTCCCAAAAATAAGACAGGGTCTTATTTTCTTTTTACACACAAAATATGGCTTGGGCCTTATTATGAGGGGAGGGTTTATTGTTTTGGGGTTGCCAGACAGTTGCTCTCTTGCGAGCAGACTCCCAAAGAGCCAGGTACAGCCTCATGGGCGAATGGCTGTGGAACAGCCAGGAAGTGACCACACTCACGAGCAGCCTCCCAGCAAACCCCCTTTCCATCTGGGCACAGCGCCATTTACTGACCTAGGGGTTCTCGCCATGCCGCATGAGTGCCTGTTCACCGCCGCCCGGTTTCCGTGGCTTGACGCCTTCGAAATGCCAGTGAATGGTGCTCTGCACGGCTGGAGAGGGGGATTGCACGAGCGGCTGTTCTGCTCTCGCGCCTCCCAGCCTTACGATGCTCTGGCCCAGCTCTCCCTGCACAGCCAGGGCACCTCCGCTGCCACCACCACTGCCACCCCAGCAAGACTTTTTTGCTCTATGGTTGTATGCTCTGCTGACAGCCAGCTACAACCATAGAGTGTACGCCCAGAGCGGCCACTGCCAGAAGACTCAGTTTGGAAGCTGCCGAAAAAGCCATGTTGGGATGGTGGTGGCGGAGGTGCCCTGGCTCTGCAGGGAGAGCTGGGCCAGGGCATCGTGAGGTTGGGAGGGGCGCAAATGGGAGTGGAACAGCCGCTCGTGCAACCCCCTTCTCCAGCCATGCAGGGCGCCATTCACTGACATTTCGAAGGCGCCAAACTGCGAGAGCCGGGTGGAAGCGAACAGGTGCTCATGCGTCTTGGCGATATCCCTAGGTCAGTGAATGGCGCTGTGCCTGGCTGGAAAGGGGGTTTGCCCCAGTGGCTGCTGTGCCCAGCTCTTTGGGAGCTCCCTCGCAAGAGAGCAGTCGCCCGGCAACCCCCATCTTCAGCTGGGCACAGCACCGATCCCCAACCTAGCAGTATCCCGAAGGCACCAAGCAATGTGATCACCTTTGCCCCCCGATTCCGATGGCTTGGCACCTTCGGGATACCGCTAGGTTGATGAGCAGGGATCTGCCTGGTCGGAGGTGGGGGGGGGGTTGTCCAGAGGGCTTATTTGCGGGGGAGGGCTTATATTTTTGCCCACCAGAAAAATGTGGCATGGCCTTATTATCAGGACATGTCATATTTTCGGGGAAACACAGTAGTACATTTTACTAACCTTATTGACAATAAATGCTACTAGAAGAGGCTTTTATTAATACCTTCTTTAAAATGCCTAATAAGTACTTCAAAAACATTAATAATTTTGCATTGCAGTTTGCCTTCTCCATCCTTGAATATTGATCCTGATCCATCAACCACATTCTGTGCAGAAAATCAGAATTATCTAATTAGGTGCTATGTACACTAAGAATGTTGGATGTAAGTGTTCAGATTCCATATCCAGAACATTACGTTGCATGTGTAAATCACAAAAGTTGGACAACACAAATAACATTGAAATGATCAGCAAATATTAAATTTGATGTATCCTTGATCTGCGCCAACAGGGTTTTCTTTGGTGTTGAAACGAGCTGCATATTTTGAACACATTTTCTATACATAACAGTGGGTTTCTGTCGGTTCGCACCAGATCGGGAGAACCGGATGGTGAAATTTACTGATCCGGTGAGAGGAGGTTCGACTGGTGGACCCATAGGTAACTTCGGAATGCCTGTCCCGGCCCTGTCGCTCCTCACTCACCCCTGCCCGTCTGGAAGCCGCTTCATCACTTGCTCCCCCCCGCCTGCCCCACTATCCTTGCCCAATTTGGTGTCAAGTCCCATACCTGGGAGTGGAGGTGGTGAATGGAGAAGCATGGAGAGGTCCAGCAGCACAATTCACCAGACAGCAGCAGCAAGCTCAGGAGTTTTCTCCTAGATTCCTCTCTGTCTTGCCTCCTCCAATCTCCCAAAGTTCTTTCTCCAGAGTGTGATAGCTTTCTACTGGATTCCTCTCTGTCTTGCCTTCTCTGATCTCCCTAATTTCGGCACTTAATCCTCCAGTTGTCTATTTTTGGGAGGTTTTCCCCTCTTCCCCCCCCCCCTTCATAGGAGTCCCCAAAAAAATTGCCACATGGCTTGGGGGTGGTGGTCATGTGACTGAGTGTGCATGAGTGATGTCAAGTTGGCCATACCTGTCCGGTCACATGACTGCCAAGCCATGCCCACAAAAGAGGCCACACCCACAGAATAGGTTTTTTTAAAAATTGAAACCCACCACTGTAACAGACCTTTCCATTTGAAATACTGTCTTGGGGAAGGTGGAACTACAGAGTATATTTGTAATTCAATTATTAAAATCAACTGAACAAACATCTTGTTGCTTTTAAATCAATCTATTTCAAAGTTGTATCTGCTTAATCTTCCTCAATCTTGCATAGTCAAAATTTCTGTTTCTTGCTCTACTCTGCCATGCCTCCATCACCTATATTCCGAAATGTCAGTGGATATAGAAAATAATGTAATAGTGCTTCAGAAAAATGAGTGCTCAAGCAGCTGTGGAGAAATAAGACACTAGCAAAAACAAAAAGAGTTTTCTATTTGTATAATGGGTTGGATGAAATCTTTATTTCTCTGCACTTTAAAATCAGTGCAAAGCCCATATTAGTATTGGTCACGATGTGTGTCATTTTTATTGTGCTGTAATCCCCAGCCCTATTTAATTTTCCACATCGCTAGACCCCAGATTCTCAAGTCACCTGGATTTATGGCAGGCATAGGTGCCCAACCTGTAGCTCCTGTTCTCTGTGCAAATCCTTCAGCGTAATCCTCAGAAATTTTCCAGACATTGCTGCCAAATTTTATGGTATAATGTGATAAAACAGAGACATCATTAAATATGTGGGGATTAATTATACCAACTGTATTTAATTTAACTATGATTAAGTTAAAATTAAATTAAATTCCTGCCAACTTCTTTCCCTTTGCCCCACCCAAGCTTTGGCATGGGGGCCCTCAGACAGCACTTAGCCCTAAGAAATTGCAGACACAAAGATGTTATTGGCTCATTTTTGAACTAATATTGCCCAGTGGGCAATTCTGCTCTGTTTTATAAGGTGTCACAAAGGATAATAACAAGGAGCATTCTGGGAGCTGTAGTTCAGAGAACATTGTATGAAAACTCCATTTTATTTCTGTCTCAGTCTTCTCGCTTCAAAATGTGAACCGTTCAACAGGTAAGGAAAGGAGGAAACGTCGTGGCAGAAGACAAGGGGCCCTATACCTTCCACTAGAGGGCAGAGGCATGTAAGCACAAGATCTTAAACGTGACCTAATAAAAAAGGTGAAAGAGTTAATAAATGGATAGCTTTGTAATTGACAAACCTGAAAGTAAAGCGGGGGGGGGGGGGAGATGTCTGGGGTGGTGGGATGTGTGTGTGNTATCAGAGCTTTGTACGGGACTATCCAGGTGAGTGACTACATATGGTCAGCCTCACTACTGAAGCTAAAAACACTGAGACTTCCTCTATTTGCAGTCAGGGGCATATTGTGATTTTCTCACCCCCCCCTTTTTTTTTTGCAGTGGTATCCATTGAGGATCCTTTTGATCAGGATGACTGGGAAGCTTGGTCAAAGTTTACAGCTAATGTAGGGATTCAGATAGTGGGAGATGACTTGACAGTGACCAACCCCAAACGCATTGAGCACGCGGTTGAGGAGAAGGCCTGCAACTGTCTACTGCTTAAGGTCAACCAGATTGGATCGGTCACTGAAGCTATTCAAGCGTGAGTTGCCTTAAACCACTCTATTTTCCAACAGCCACTGTGCTATCAAGTACCCATTCACAGTTCCAAAGATTATCTTCGGGAGGCAAATCCACTAAGTTTATTATATTCACTTACAGTTGTAAACTGGCTCAAGAGAATGGCTGGGGGGTGATGGTGAGTCATCGATCAGGGGAGACTGAAGACACCTTCATTGCTGACCTGGTCGTGGGACTCTGTACTGGGCAGGTAGGTCTAAATAGTGGAAATCTTTTCTCCTTTTGGGAAGAAGCAGGCAAGAGCTAGAATATTGCCACTCTTGAGACAGAATCTTAATAGACAGAATTGATATGGTGTCTGATGCAAATGAGCATTGTGGGAGCAAAATGTACAAAAGTGTTAAAAAAGAGTACCATTTCAATAAATCAGATACAAACTTTCAGTCACTCTAATTACCAAGAAGACAGTATGTGTAAATAGGAAAGGTGGACACTTAAATATAGTCCCAGGTAAAGTAAAAGTCTGGGACAGAACAAACAGTTCCATGAGGAGGCTGTACTTTGGGTCTTGAAACCTGGGGAGATTTCCAGAAAAAGTGATAGACAATGGAAAAGACAGAAACATGGCAGCAAATGGACTTGGGGTCAGCTCGGAGCATAGGAATAGCAGGGGATTGGACTAGAAGATCTCCAAGCCTCTTCCAACTCTGTTATTCTATTATTTATGATTGGTGCCAGTAACTTCAATATCTTCCTCTAAAGAAATACAGAAACATGTCAGCTAAGTACACTGTGCAGTGAAGATCCAGTTGTTCCCACCTCTCAATTTCTTCTGACAAGCCTCTAGACATTGAACTTCTGGGGGCGGGCAGATGATCCCTTTGCTTCCTGCTTGACAGTTAACAAGTTTGGGGCAGAATAAGGGAGCAGAGGAAAATAAACAGGCCAGGTTCTGGTAACAAGAGAATGGGCTCTTTCTTCTCCACCTCCCTCCCCCCTTTAAGCAAACTTTTGCTGAGGTTGTGCAGTTAGCAAAAAAAAGTTTACTTTAGGTATATTCCTTATCTCATACACCTTTGATATCATGACAGAGTTCAAATAAGCACAGAAAATGTTTATTCTTGGTGGGCTGCCTTTGCCTCTAATTGACATGTTTGTGTGAATCTCCATAAAATATTACTGAATTGACATTGACCTTTGCAGATAAAAACCGGAGCTCCATGTAGATCTGAGCGACTGGCAAAATATAATCAGCTAATGAGGTAAGAAATATGAGGGAAGAAAAGTGGATATGCCTGTGTGAGTGAGAAAAAAGGGGGAGTGAGTTTGGGCGAGATGGAAATATCAATCTGCATCATCTTCCAGTAGAGCTCTGTCCCACTGGATTGGACTAATATAACAAAGGGGAACTTTTGTTGCTAGAGATTCATCAGATCCTGTTGTTACTGCACAGCAAAGCAAGCACAGACACAGCACTAGAGCATACATGTGCTCTGGTGGTTGACAACGTCATCAAAACAGCTTGGCATCTTCAATGTTACCTTTGTCTACATAATGCTGGCCTTGCCTTGGGCCCAGGCCATCACTTCAGCAGATTTATCCTGTTGTTTCTTGATTGTTACAGACAGCTGCCAAATACAGAGAGTAGCCAAGAGAATAAGGAGTAGAGGGCCTTAAGTTGCAGGTCTTTCAGATGTCTGAACAAAGACTGAGCTCTTCTAAGAATCATTTTGAAGGCGGGCTTATGATGGAAACAGCAGGGAATCTCTTTCATTTGCTATTCTAGGACAAATTCTTAGGAGCTTCCAAAGGGAAGTTTTCTAGTAGTACCCAACAAAACATCTTGCACATCTGGTTTTTCTCTCCTTGCTGCATTTTTTATGGAAAATGAGATTTGTCAATGGAAATCATGCTCTTAAGGACCAGCCCATGGAAAGGCAAATGGTTAATGCTTGCATTTCTGGCACAGGTAGTGGGGATAAAGAAGTAGGAAAATCTACCAATAGGAAATCATAGTCCGCATCTGGGCAGAACACCATGGCTAAGGTAGAAGAAGAGGTTACACAGCCCAGAAATACATTGTTATGCCAGCTTCATTTACAGCCAGTTTATGAACCAGAATCCAGGGCGGTTAGGGCCACGGTGCAGAAAAACTGATAGTCATGAAATAATGATTTGGAATAATAATTAATGTTCCCAAGAATTTCTATTCTGTCAAAAACATACCAAGAGCATAGCACAAAATTAGGAGTCCCAGATAAAACCAAGAGATAGCCAAGGTTCTGCCGACCTGTCTAACTATAGCTAAACCACTGTTTTTGATTTCATTATCAAGAGAGACCCAAGATAAAATGAGCTTCATTGAAGAATAGCATTATTAGCAGACTCCACTGGAGGATCAAAATAGGCAAGATGGCACTTGCAACATTGTGACTGAAACTCCACTCCTTTGCATACAAAAGAGACGGAGCTTGGACTGTGATGCCACAACTGCTTTCTTGCTTATTTTAACCCTCAATGGATGCCTCAGAGCAAGGTGAAAAGCCATTGCCTGTTATGAACATTGATGCTTGTGGAGGCATGTTCTATGGACAGATGAGTTTAAACTCTTTTAACTACCAAATCTATCCGTATATCTGGTGGCAACTGGATATTCTATTACAAGCTGGCAACTTTTCCTGACGGTGAGAACAATTAATCAAGCAAATGGCTTGTCTTCAGAAGTTGTGGATACTCCATTACTGGAGGTGTTCAAGAAGAGATTGGATAGACATTTATCCAGAATGGTATAGGGTCTCCTGCCTAAGCAGGGGGTTGAAGATCTCCAAGGTCCCTTCCAACTCTATTATTCAGTTTAGAACTTTGGACCAATCAGGAAGCATAGCAACAGTAGTGGTTTGAAGATTTTATTACTTCAGAATCTGAATTACTTGCTATCACTGATGAAAACATGGATTCTGCTATGTATCAGAGAAGGTATCTGAAGCTGAAATGAAAGTAGATGTTTAGCATCACTGAAAGTGATACCATAGTAGAAAGCTTGATAACCGCAGGACAGAGATGTGAAATATACTAATAAGTCAACAAGAGAGTGCATGAAAAAGAACAAATTCAATGTTTTGGAATAACAAAACCAAAGTCCATAGCTAAAACCACACTGAAATATCGTGGCACAATGCCTAAGATGAGTTGTTCATGCAATAAAAACCTCAAGTGTGACTGATGTGTAGCAATACGGCATGGAGGAATGAGCAAATATTTCTCTACAATATAGCAATATGAAAGACCGATCACTGCCTACAGGAATTGTTTTTTTCCCCTAGCACAGGGGTGTCAAGCTCGTGGCCCATGGGCTGGATGCATCATGTGCTGACCACGCCCATTTAGCAAAGGGGGTGGGGGGAAGTTGTGATACATCACTTGAGACAATGTGACGCCATGAGTTTGACACATTTGCCTTAGCACATCATGTGGCCTATTTTATAAAGTCAATGAAACAGCTACCAAACTTAGATGCTGACGCAGTACATCAGGCCCTCATTTTTGGAATTATTTAGTGGCAACAAGCAAAATTTTTAAAAAAACACAACACATTTTCCCATCAGAACTGTATTTTCCTCACAAAGAGCCATTAGAGTTTTGAATGTAAAAACAGGAGCTGAATAAAAAATGGTTCCAGTTCACAGCCTGTACTTTTATAGTACACTGTCCTTCGTTGGGTTCCACAGAAAGAGGTATTCCAATGTTAAATTTCACGTGAAAGTAACTTTTTTTTGGATTATATCTAGTATGTGGCCGATACCCAGAATACAGTTCATTAACTATCTGTCTGCATTCCACAGGATTGAGGAAGAACTTGGTGATGAAGCTCGCTTTGCTGGGCACAACTTCCGTAATCCAAGTGTCCTATAAATGCATCCTGGCATATTCCGGCCATGCCTGCTATTTCTGTGCACAGACTCTGAGTGCCCATTAGATCACACCTTCCATCGTCCTTGTTCCACACTCTCCTGCTCCAGGTCTTCTCAGACCCACTCACTGGAATTGCCCAGGATATGCAAAGACTGACGCTTCCTTTTGCCTGTCATGATGCAGTGCTGCAAGTCAGCTTTGTCTGTGTTGCGCAGTGTCTGCTGTTTAGACCTGCTTGAGTCATCGTTATACCCAAGTACAAAATGGTGTCAGCATGTTTGCCCTGGTGTTTGGCCAGTATTTTGCACATTTGAAGATTGTCCTTAAATTGGAGTCCAGATTGTATTTGCTTATTGATACAAGATGGTGTTTTTGTGTTTTGTCCCTTGGAATATCGGCATCTATGTTTTGATCCCTGTGAGTTGTGTTTAAACCTGTGTGCTGCATATTGTCAGTAACTGGTTGCTCCATTTGTATGTGTGAACAGGGAGAGAGGGAGAGAGAGGGGGGGAAAAACAAGTGAGAGAATATATGTTTCTTACCAGCCTCAAAATACAATTTAATTACTAGCATTGTATGTATGTGTGTGTGTGTAGGTTGGAATCTGCATCTGGGGTTAGGCGTTCATTCAACCAAAGGTTGAATTGCTGTAGATTTTGTTTCTGAATATGAAGGGCAAGATGTCTGGTATGATATACTGGATTAGTGTGCCATGTTTTATGGGATGCTGTGGGTAGTGCATTGTGGGCATGTTCTTGCAATCAGCACTTTGCTCAGATCTCTCTCCCTCTCATTGCTGCCTGGATGTTTGATCACATTTTACTCTCTGCCTCTTCATCCATTTCCCTCTTGCTCTGCTATCATTTCTGCTTTAAGCCACAGAGGTTTCACATTCAACTGCCTCCTCACCCAATAACAACCACAAAAGAAAAAAGAGAAGAGAAAAAAAAAACACCCCAATATCCAGAAAAAAGTAACCAACAAGTAAAACCTCAATTCAATTAAATTCTGTTTCAACCCTGAGTGTCCTGCCTCTGCTTGAATATCTGTTATTTATCATGGGAAGTGTAAATACTCTAAAAATGGGTGAAATATTCTAGAAGGCATCTGACAGTTTCCAGAAGTCTCAAGACGCAAAGATTCAAGTTGGAGCTTGTTGACAATACTAGTGGAGCTAGTGGGACCAGCTGAGGAAGAACCTGTCTATACCTGTGCTCCAAAGGTAGATCCTGCTAAAATATTGCTAAAATATGCAGGGCAAATAAGTGGAAGTTCTCACTAAGCCAGAGAGAAAATATTCTCCTATTATTGTTTTCCCTAGAGATCCTGAAAAGAAGGACCTCCTGATGTGGTGCTGGCTATCAGTTTGCCTGGCTTTAAAAAAGGGGGCCCAATTCATAGAAGTTATAGGGTCAGTGACTGTTAGTCTTGATAGCACCTTGACTACCTCTGAGCACCATGACTACCTGCTGGGAGACTAGTAGGCTTCCTTGTAAATGTGGTTAGCACTCTGATAACAGATTGATGGACTAGGTGGGCCAGGGGGCTGATCCAGCAGGCTCTTGCTTATGTTCTTATGTAAGGCTAAATTCTTATAATAGTGGCTTATATCACAAGGCCTTGAGTCCTTGAGGGATAAATGTAGCCTAAGGAAATTGAGAGAATTGGAATTATTAAAAAGAAAAAGTCCATTTCTGGGCCTGCTAGAGCTATTGATCTTTATCACTCAATGCCACTTAAAGCCCGGAGCTCGAATCAAGTATAAGGTGTTTGGGAGCAGATCATAAATTGAATTTGCTTTAAACATTTCTATGAGTGTACTTCAATACTGCCCTTCAGAATTACAAATTATGGCTATTTTGACTGCAGCCAAGACAAAATCCAGCATTAAATACAGCATGTTCTTGCCTTAAAATATATTTAAAAAATTTAGTCCTTCCCTTAAAATACCTTAACAACAGCCCATAATTTTAAAAGATGGTAGCCCCAGGAAACCAAGAAATGGTCTCTTTCTTTTTAATAATTCCAGAGCTCTCAACATCTTTAGGGACTTGAGAATATATTTCACTTTTCTCTTGGTGGCTTTGAACTTTATTTTTGGAAATGGCAGATGGTGTATGGTGGTACAATCACTTTTGGTTGCCTTTCCATTCCTTGGAAGCTACCCTGACTGCCCATATTGGAAAGAGCCTTGGGGAAGATCTCAAGTGAGATTGTCTCCTTGGGATTTCACTAAAGTGAATCAAGCTAGAGAAACTCAAACTGCTGGACAGTTGATTACATATAGAGGGAAGGAGAGGACACATTCTGCAGAGATCTGATCTGATCAATGAAGGAAGACACACTCCAGCATAAGCATTTCACTTAATTTCTCTTCTTGAAACTGATTTCTGAAGAAAGGTTTCCATCAGATTGAATGAAAAGTGGTAGAAAATATGCAGAATTTTTTTTGCCCAACATTAAATTTAATTGAGCTCTACATGTATTTTTAAAATAGCTTTGTTAAATGTGAAAACATTTTGTTAATTTTTATCATTCCAGAAAAATATGCAGAACTTTTCTGCCCAAAACTAACTTTAATTTGACTCAATTTTTAAAATAGAAGCATTATTAAATGTGAAAACATTTTGTTAATCTGCATCATTCACCATGACCCTTTTAATATATCTTTAAGCATCTATCAAGCAATCTGCAGAAAGAGATAAATGAAAGATTCCTCAAAATGTCTTCTCACCAAGAGACTCTTAAGCCGAGAGTTGTTGCTTAGGAACAAGGCTGGTCTTGTAATTTTTTTTCAAGATCTCTTTTACCCAGAATAGCTTGCAATTCTGTCATTTTTGTGGATGTGATTATTCGTAAGGAATAGAAAAGGCTAGACTGACTACAGATTTGAAACTAGTTGCTCCAAAGTATAGATAACAACCTTACATTTTTTGCCAATAGAAGTGTAGGCAGTATATTGAACAATAGGCAGTTAAACACAAAGAAACTAAAATTTGGGTCCCAGCACCACAACAGAATGGAAAGGAAGGTTGGAACCATCTATAGGAAGGCAGTGAAAATATGCAATACTTGCAAATGAAGATCAGGAATTGGAGAAAAGGTTCAAATAAAATACAAAGCCAGACCCTAACCCTAACCTTTAAGTGAAGGCCAAGTGGAATCAAAGACAAACCCATCAAGTTATCAAGAACTACAGTATCCATAGGTAACATTATGTTTCATTACAATTATAGGATATAAATTGTAATTTTCTAGCTGCTTTGGGGAGGTTTATAAATACAGAGATAAATGCTACAATCTCTAACTCCTTATCCTTTGCTGACAGTATTTCAAAAGAGTAGGACAATTACCTCCAAATCTTTCACAATGAATCTTGCTGTTGGTTTCTTGGCTACATTATCTAATGTGTATAAATAAATGGGAATAGGATATAAAAAAAATAAAAACAGTTATTAGTTGTTAAACAATATTGCAAAACTTCAAAGAATTAAAAATCATCTTTTATTGGAACTGTAATATTCAGGTATTGTATGGGAAACTGAACTTTGAGAAAAAAAGAACACAAAGTGTTAGCTTCCAATAAAGGATATATTTAACCAAATCTAATCAACTTTTATTAATAATAATTTCCTAATGGATTACACTTGTCTGAATAAACATTCTTTTGGTTTTATTATGGATTATATGGATTATGGATGTCTGGATTTCTCTTCAAGATTACAAATTATTATATATACTTACAATAATCTTACACATAATCTCATAAATCTTTCTATTGTTAATCTCTTGATGTAAGTGCTGAATTTTACTTTTGTAAATATTTTTAAAAAATTATATTTTAATTTTTCTGAGAAAGGAATCATTGATATGGGCAGCTTACATATTCAATTTTTAGACAATGCTGACCATATTCTACCATGTTTTCCCAAAAATAAGACAGGGTCTTATTTTCTTTTTACACACAAAATATGGCTTGGGCCTTATTATGAGGGGAGGGTTTATTGTTTTGGGGTTGCCAGACAGTTGCTCTCTTGCGAGCAGACTCCCAAAGAGCCAGGTACAGCCTCATGGGCGAATGGCTGTGGAACAGCCAGGAAGTGACCACACTCACGAGCAGCCTCCCA